ACTATAGTTAATAATTTTATTATCTCGGGCATCATGAAACAACTCGTCTTCGACCAATATTGGGACATTCATATATAAAACTATCACATCAAGCGTACTCAATACAGCTATGCAGAGATGCAGTTGAAAGGGATTGATCTGAAACAACACCCATCTACACGATCAAGAAATATGAGGAAAACATAATTTCCGCTTTTTGCGAATTGACCAGAGCAATTTTCTGTAATGAGAGAAGACAAAGTTATGCACCGTTTTGCAGGAAAATTCATGCGAAAAAATGCTACTGCTACGTGAAAGGAGAACTTTGAAATCGCTTCAGGTTACATACAAGAAATGGAGAATACGCGAATCCAATCAACACATAGTTGCAAACGAGAGATAAAACTAATCAGAGACAAGAAATCGTACCGCGTCCATTTCGAATAAAGGGACTCGCGGTGAATAACCGGTTTCGCACACGCGGACGGTCGGTACCGCCGGGAAAAGAACAGTACAGAATGTTCAAACACAAAATCAAGAGCGCAAGGCACTCGGTAACCTGAGTTTGGCGGAGGTCCATATTTACAAACGAGTGAGTATCTCGCCGGGGCTCTGCACCCCGAAGTGGGAAAGACAACGTGACTGAGAAAAAGCAGCAAATACTGAGAGTTTCAATTATTGCGGACGCATGGGAAAGCCCTCTTGTTGTAGTCTTCGCATCATATCCGAACTAGCCATAAGGCCGTTCGCCTGCGAGGAGGGAATGAGGGCTGGATGGAGCCCTAGATTCGGAGGCAGGCCCGCGGACATTGCGTTCGGGGCCTGCATTGATGGTGGTGCCATTTGATTCATGCTCATTTGGTTGGCCATCATCATCTGCATCATTAAAGCCTGGAGTTCAGGACTGGCCAGGCCCTGTGGAGGGGCCATTGCGCCACTCATGGCGCCAGCCATCTGCTGCGCTTGCATCATTTCCATTTGGAATCGTTGCATATCAGTAGGCTGTTGTGGCATAAATTGAAGGCCGCTAGCGGCGGCTGCTGCTGCCATTCGTTGATCCATGAACGGCATCATCGGGATGCGACCAGCAGCTGCTAGTTGACGTTGCATCTCCATTTTCATCATCTAAAGGTGAATAAAAATTGTAA